TTCATACGAGCTTTGCTCGTGTTCATTTTGAGGACCTTGTTCTCTTAGTGTCCTTCACCCCCTCTGGCTCTTGCACTTGTTCAGCCTCCTTCTCCATGAGATTCCCTGAGCTCTGGGGGAGGGATTTGTGGGAGACATCTTATTTAGAGCTGTGTGTTCCGAGGACTCTCTCTGCATGATGCCTGGCTGTGGGTCTGTGTGTGTGTGTTCCATCTGTGTAGAAGGAAGCTTGTCTGCTGATGGCTGAATAAGGCATTGATCTATGAGTATAGCAGATTATCATTAGGGGTCATTTGGGAGCCATTTCATCACTACTTTATCTTTTTAAGACCAGTAGCGTTTGGTTTTATTGTAGGTCTCTAGTCTATCTAGTCTCTGGTTCTTGGTTCCCCAAGCAGAGTTGGATTGGGTTTCATCTCATGGAGTAGGCTCTAAAAAATGGGACATCTTAAATTTATAGAAATACAGCTACCAAAGTATAAGCCTATTTTTTTCTTAGTATGTTTGGAGATATCCAAGAAAATACTTCTGTCTGTAATCATGAATGTTATATACACGTACACAGGTGTGTACTCAGGATATATATACTCAATAGAACTGTGCCTTGTATTGGAAATGACCAATAAGAAATTTCTGAATAAACGAGTGCTAGGTTCTTACCTGAAGAGCTGGGTGAGTTAGGTCTGGCCAGAGTTAGATATTTAGTACTATTTAAAAGTAGGTGAGTAGACTAAATTTTTAAAGAGATCAGCCAAATGAGAGCAAACTCTGTTTTTATGTCTTCCCTAAATGCAGTTTGAGGATGACTTCTTAGCTTGTAGGTTCATCTCAGAGGTTGTTCTTGACCTAAAAACCTCATTGTGTGTGTTCCAATGTCTTTAGGCTCCTGAAGCTTTCCCTGAGTTTTGCTTATCATTGATCTGAGGACTTCTGTATACAATGTAACTGTTTATGGGCAATAAATATTTCCTCCATTTAAACAGAAAGCCAAAGCACAGAGATTTAGACACGGAAGGGAGATCAACAAGCTCATTATAGCCTGATTTAGAAACAAGGACTTGTGAATGACAGCTTTGCTTTGTTTCCGTGTTAAATTCAACAATATAACAGATTCCCTTTTGAAAGAACATAGGCAATAGAACCATGTGGTAAAAGAGGTCCAAACGCACTGTGAATAGAATTATGCTTCTTCCAAATTCAAAATCAGACCAAGACAGATCCGAAGGCCAAGGTCTAATTACCAACACTGGTAACACACTGAATCTCTAGAGTTAGAAAATCCTATAGCTGTGGGCTGTTTTTCTAATGTCTGGTAGATTAGTGGGCATTTCCATTAGAAACTGGAAGTCTTGAAGAATGTTCAGATAGAAAGCACAGGTTGTAAATTTGTTGGTAAGACAGGGTTTTTGTAGTTCCCTGAAACCACTTGTGTTGGAATCACTTGGTTGCTGTTAAACAGTGGTGACTTAGAGCCCACATATCATCCCTTACTTAAATTCTTGAGGCTGAAACGGAGAATTTCCAAACTAACAGAGCTTTAAGTCTCTGATGTCCAATAAAACTTGAAAACCAGTGGTTATTGGAATGTGTTCTATAGTTAAGGGCAGAATACGGTATGAAATGAAGCTGAAACATCTTTAGGAACAAATGTTGGCAGGATTCCTTAATTAATGAGTAAAAAAAATGCATCAAATATATAAAAAATAAGGGGTTTGTATCATATAAGGATTTGGTGAAAATTTTGGTAGGGAAGGTTTTAGAGAAAATTCTGGTTGAAAATATCTTGCTTCTAAAGGAGAAAAGTGCCCTATGCAATCCCTTCTTCCTGAGTCAATTATGACTTTATGGATTATAAAGCTTTTGGATTATTATTTTATGGATTATGAAGCTTTTAATGAAATGCAGACCAGGTTGAGTTTCTGGGATTAAAGCACACATCCCGTGGAAATCCAGCAGCAGGAAATATGCTTTGAAAAAGAAATTAACTGTCATGGAATCCGGACTCTGATCATCTTTTACTAGCCTGAGGATTAATTTTATACTATATGTGAATAAAGAGTTTGAACAGGATGGTTTCTATAAGCCAGATAAAAATTAATCATTGTATTTATCTACCTAAAAGCCTTTAATAACTCCCCATATCACAAAGGACGAAGTTCACACCTCAATTCATGGCCTCCTATCTTTCCCCTTTTTTTGGCCAGATCTCCCTTTCAGTTTCTTAACGCTCTGACCCCTTGGCTTTCCCTGCTGGAAACCTCCCCTCCTGCCCTCATTGACAACATGCAGTAAGCACTTAGCCAGCACAGTATCACGGCTTCTATCATTACTAACAACGGAGGAGAAAGAGCACATGTAAGATACGCTGTAGAAGAAACCAAAAAGTTGAAGGAAAATCACCCTATCACTTGCATATATATTATGTAAAAAGGATTAGTGTATGGTAGAATGGCAGAGAATATTAGGGAGAGATATTTATATTTGAATATATTTAATTCACAACCATGGAACTCAGAAATCTTTCCTCCCCCATGGCTGGGCAGTTGACAGCTCTTGGTTGTTCCTATGTCATAATGATGCATCCTAAGGAGAGGTGCCACTGAGTCTTACAGAGATCCACGAATGGATCTCCTGTCTCACATCACCTTCACACTGCTCAGCAGCCTTGAGGTGCACTTTAATATCCAATGTAAGTAAAACGAAGCTAGAGAGGTGAGATGAAACTGGTGTAAAGTCATAAAGATGGTAAAAGGCTAAGTCTGAATTACAACCAAATGTCATCAGACTCCAGAACAGATGAGGCAATGCAGGGGCCCTAAGAGAAGACCCGGGTGATGCTGAAGCCCCTTCAGGATCTTATTCCTTGACATCTCTTGCACCCACCAGTCTCATCTGAGGACAGGGGACAAAAGACAGATTCGTCTTCTGGGTATCTTTCCTGTTCTTCAGATGTCACTTTACAGCAACTTACTACACAGTAACTTAAGAGCACTTTTTGTTCCACGTATTTTGTCACAGAGAGAAGGATCACTAAAACAAGAAACAAAGCAAACAACAAAAATGAACTAGCCAGAGCTGGGTGTACTGGCCAATGCCTGTAATCCCAACACTTGGGAAGTGGAGGCAAGAGGTTCAGGAATTCAAGGTCATCTGAGGCCACATAATAAACTCAAGGCCAGCCTGGGTCCCAGGTGACCCTGCTTCAAATAAGCCAACCAACCAACCAACCAACCAACCAACCAACCAACCAACCAACCGAATAAATCAGGTCCCTCTGTCATGTAAAGATAGACTACACAATGAAACAGCATCTTCTGTAAAGCAGGAAGCATGCTTCAGTCAGATCTCATTTACCTACAGGACAGTGGTTCTGAGCTTTCTAGCACCCAGAACTATAGAACGATAAGCTTTAAAGCAACGAATCGGAAATCTCTGACCACTGCCTTCCTGAAGCCACTAGAAAAATCTGGGTTGTAAAATAGCCATTCACAGTTGCTTTCCATGCAACTATGGTATCCACAGAGATCACAGTCTATAGTGGGTAAAACCCAGGGCTTTACCTGCTCAGCTCTTGCCTTACTACTGAGGGTAGTATATTTCACAGACGAAACCCATCGTTTAGCCCCACATTCGCAATCTCTGGTACTTAGTTTGGCACAGTGAGATGACCAAGTGGTCATCAAGGCTCCATTTTCTGACCTCAGCAGCCAGGTGCCAAATCAACAAAGCATCTAGTTGTTCAGAAAATGTTACTCATCAGGACAACCAATGAAGCCAGGCAGTGGTGGTACACACCTTTAATCCCAGCACTCGGGAGGCAGAGGCAGGCAGATCTCTGTGAGTTCAAGGATCGCCTGGTTTATAGAGCTAGTTCCAGGACAGCTAGGGCTGACACACAGAGAAAGGCTGTCTCAAAATACCAAAACAAACAAAAAAAAAATTGTAAAATGGTTCCAAAGACTAGTCATTAGATCTAACTCATCCTTGCCTTATGAGCACCAACTGTGTTATGCATATGAAACCTCATAAAATTGGAGTTTGGATTTCAGTGCCTTGGGTGAAAAGTAAAGTTTGTACGAAGATATTGAAGATGGCATGGTGATACATCAGTAAACGGGGGAGTTGGGCTAAATGGAAAGTCTGTGTTGGTTACTTTTCATCACTGGGATAAAATCTAGTAGCAGCTTGAGGACAGGTGGCTTTATTTTGGCTCACAGACTCAGAGATGTCAGCCCCTTATGATGGGAGAGCAGAGCCATTTACATCAGAGTAGCTGGGAAGCAGAAAAAGAAAGCCTCCACTTTACCAAGGCTATTGCATCTCTCAGTGTCTCCCAAGACTCTCTAAGCGTCTTTCATGACTCTCCCTTTCCATAACAGCATGACCCTTCAGTATCCCCTTATTATATTTATTTAAATATCACTTTAAAAACAAACTCTGTGTATCCACGAACACCTATATGTCTGTGTGCGATGGGGCATGGGAACTTCATGCCACAGAACATTCGCTGAGGGTGGAGGACAACCTTGGCTCTCAGTTCTCACTTGGGTGCCGACAGGGTTTCTTTGTTGTTTGCCATTTCCTGTGTCCGCAAACTTCCGCTGTCTCCACCTCCCATCTTGCCATAGGAAACCTGGGACTACACACCTGGATGCTTTGTCTGACTGTGTGTGGGTTCTGGGGATTGGAACTCAAGTCCTTATGCAATGGAGCCCAGCCCAGATAACAGTAGTTCTATAAGTATGTTTCCTGCCCTCCCCCAATTCAAGAGTTTTTTCTGAGCCCTTGCTTGACATATGATGAAAGAGTCTACCCAATTGTCATTGTGATCATTCTATGAATGACTTGACTTGGCTTGTCTTTACTTTTCCTGTGGCAAAGATACCATATACATTTTAGATGGCAAGCATATTTGGAAAGAAAATGGTGTTTTGAGTTTGTCCCATTTTCTTAGATGTGTAACTACTACCCCGAATCACAAAAGTAAGAGAGGCCAGGAAGTATGTAAAATACAGGCACAGCTTTATTTTGCTACAAGGCAGTAAGTACACTGTCGTTTCAGAAGCTCAGGGCCGGCCATCTTGTACCCAGTGTTCTCGAGGCAGAAACCGACTGTTGACTTCCATGTTTGTCTTCCCCCCAAACATAAGAACCACGAGGCAGTTCTGGTCCATACACTTAATAACTATGGGGAAAGCTGAGCAGACTCAGAGTACCTGAGTCGATGAACAGTCAGACTGAACTCAAAACAAAACATATGACATGAACAACATAAATTTCCCAAAAAAAGAAGTGCAATGCATGTTTTTATAAACCAACAATAACAAAAAAAGAAACAACTTTCCTTAAAAAAAAAGAAAATGTACAACAAATGCAAAAATCTCCCAAATAAGTTTTCCAGTTACAAAAGGAAAAGGTATATATATAAAAATAAAAAAGTCTGAAATACTAGTGAATAATCAATTCTCTAATACCAAGTTTCTTTTCTCTCATCCAAGCTCTACTGCCTCTCTGACTAGCAGCATCTCTACAGGCTAAGACCATAGCAGCGAAACACATTTTTTTTTTATTATTTGGCATTTACAAAATTAAATTACTGAATAAAAATATAATTTTTTATAAAACTATTTCATACAGTAATAATTTTTAAAGCAAGCTAACAAAAACTCCTCATGAACTGGTTTAGCATAATAAATGTCTTTCCAATATTATTAACTACAAATGAGTCTTATAGGCTCTGTGAACGGCTACTTGGTATTTAGTCAACATTCAGAATAATGCTTTCACTGTTTATTAAAAATATTTGTATGTATTCTTAGTGATTGAGAAATGTGAAATACTGGGGAATTTCTTTGTATAATTTTTTTTTAATTTACCCCAGTCAAAAATACTGATCTGTTGGATCCTCTAAAATACAAATAAATCATTTTATTTAAAAAATCTGATTATGATATTAACAAATGGTTACAATTCATTACCTAATAATTTAGGTAAGACTGTTATTCATTAATTTTTTTAAAAATAATCCTTTTTAGTTGGGTGAAACCCAGTAAGATTCCATGCAACTAAAACGCACTTGGTGCTGCTCTGCACTGTTGTACCACAACAAAAATAGGTTCTTCTCTCAGGCAGGAAGAGTTCCATGCTGAGGAATGATAGGTCATAAGTCAACTTTTAAGTGTTCTGAAAACCATAATGCTTTTCTGGAAATGTCTCACATGACCAGAGTCCGAGCCGAGAATGCGTTCACATATTTTCGAGGCTGACCAGAGGCCGTCATCTGATCCTCTGTCTTCCCACAGGAGGCTGGTTCCCAGGCACCACTGCAGGGCTGAGGGGGAGAAAGGGAGACAGTGGGGGTCAGAGCAGGAAGCGCAGGTGGCCCAAAGGGGCATCCCCAGCTGGGCAGCCAGGTGGAATGCTGTCCATGCCAGGAAGCCATTTGTTGTCAGGTACAATGGGACCCTCATAGCCAATGTTTCCTTACGACGTGACATCTTGTTACTGGAATGTCTTTCGCCTCTTGGGCAGTTTTACAAGGTGGGAGCGGGACTGGGTGTCATTCTCCAGATACACAAGGCAAGTTCTAGGCCTTTACTCACAAACTGATGAATGCATGAGCCAACTACCTAATTAAGTCAATTAAATTTGGCTTAACTTCTGTAATGCAGCAACTCCTGATAAAGCCTACACATTTTGATACATATGTAAACTATATACACACATTGTATTTCAAAATTCACTTTATTAATATGAACTCACCAGGTAGCTGAGCTGACCTTGAACTTCTAAGGTTCCATCCTCAACCTCCCAAGTGCTGGTTCAGGCCTTCCTCTACTGCACAGAAGTAGTCTGCGACATCTCCAGCCCTACTTTAGCTTAGCTTGTGCGGATACATTGGAAGTCACGGGACGGAACTAATGAACAGTGTCCAGACACCCGAGACAGTACTGGGGCCTGTGTAGACACAGTCATACATGTACACTGCACACCCGCCCCATGAGGCAGGTCCAGACAAACGTTAGTTGGACTAGAAAATGAAGCGGTGGGGTTTGGATGCCCAAACCCCATGCCATGGTGTGCACACAGGGGCTTGAGCACTGGTCTGCCTGAAGAGGGGGAAAGACTTGTACACAAACTATGTCCTCAACAGCACAGTGCCTGGACAGAGGCAAAACGGCACTCAGTTTCTGAGCTCCCAGCAGCCATTTTGGAGAAGACAAACATAAGCTCCCAAATCAAAAGTGAAGCCAGCAGTTTAGGAGACACACTATTCCTGGTGTTGGCATTGAACAGGAATTCTTTTCCATGGGACAAAAGAAAACTAAGAACGACCGTATGCAGGAACAGTGGTGAACCACAGTAACCCCAGCGTTTGAGTCAGAGGTAGGAACATCAAGAGTTCTTGGCTAGTCTAAGCTACACAGTAAGTTCCAGGCCAGCAATGGGCTACACAGCCATGTCTTGTCTCCACCAACAAGGGCTGTGCCCTCCAGAACCTGGCGTTTCTTTAGAGAGCTAAAATGCACATGTGATTTTATAACATGTAAAAACAGTCTGTGGTGGTTTGTGGAGCCCACAGACAACTGAAAAGGGCAGGGGGCACTGAGAACAGCATAGGTAGAAAATTGATGGAGGGGAAGCCTAGCGGGGGTGGGGAGTTAGTGATTTGGACAGTCTTCATTTAAAAGGCTACAGAGAGATGAAGGGGAGAGTAGTTACACAACAGCATGGACCAGACCCTTACTGTGTACCACCTACAACCTTGCTCCGTGTTAACTCACACTAAATACCCATGGCATAGCTACCCTGTAGTCTCCCACCTAGTTTACCTATCAGGAAGCTAACACGGAAGAGAGCGTCTGAGCAACACGTTCAAGATTGCACCGCTAAGAAACAAAGGAGCAAGAATCTGAACTGAAGGGATACAAGAGGCCACGCCCCTAAGCAGTATGCGAGGCTGCGCCTAGCCGACATCTTGCCAAGAACACGGTGAGGAAGTTGATAAGAAAATTCAGGGGTTCAATTACCAGGACCTCCGAAGGCACACAGAGCCAGGGGGATGTGGAGTGAGAAGTGGCATGCTTGCTGGCAAACGACAGCCCTGGATGGACACTGCTGCCATCGGGCTGAGGTTTCCCGGTTCCAGCAACTTAACGTTTGCAGCGCGATGTTCTCACTTCCCCAGGGCCACAGCCTCTTATCCCGCCCCCTGCCTCCCCATCCATATAAATGGCACACTCAAGTGCATAGTGTACTCTAAGTGCTCAGAGGTGCAACATGCGACTTGTCATACCCCACAGCAAATGGGTCAGCCTACAGGCTTTCAAGGAATGGCATATCCCAGACATGATACAGGAAAGAAGGCCCGTGTTCTAGGTTGGCTTCTAACACATAGTCACATTTAATATTTTCCTAGGCAATAAATTTAGTTACAACATTCTTTGAAATGGTTCTAAACCAGTGTGGCTCTCAACTTGTAGATGGCAATCCCTTGGGGGGGGGGGGAGCGGGGATCGAACAATCTTTTTACACGGGTGCCCTAAGACCACCAGAAAACACAGATATTCATATTCATATTCATAACAGTAGCAAAATTAGAGTTGCGAAAATGATTGTATGGTTGGGGTCACTAGAAGATGAGGAGCTGTATTAAAGGGTCACAGCATTAGGAAGGTGGAGAATTGCTTTATAATGAATATTTCCTTGGACTCAAATGTGCAGACAGGCACACACATCTCTGCACAGCGCTTCTCTTCACCCAAAGCCCCTGCTTTAGTTTTATCCACTGCTTACTCGCTGAAGCTGAAGTTTCTCCAGCGCAGCACAGAAATGCAGGCGGACAAGTGAAATCACCTAAACTATTAAAGTTTTATGTTTTATTTTCAGTGACTGAGTTAGTGCTGGTAGTCCTGAGCAAATTACAGAACAGGAATTAGTGGTTGAGAGGCAGTAATGGATGGGTGCATCCTTTACACAGAAAGCTCTAGGTGCTTAAGATCAATGACTAAATAGATACCAGAGAAGAAGGAGAGAGGATCCTGGGCATCAAATGATGAATGGGGGAGTCTAACACAGTATCTGACCCTATGATACTGTTTATGTAGAGTTAAAGTATACAGATATATAGTAACAATGAATACGTGTCTTCAAAAAAATGGAGAAGAGGAACGAACGGAGAAAACAAATAGAAGCAAAAAAAGGATTATTTCTATTTTTCTCTGCTTTTTCTATTTAAAAAATTGAGGTTTTCTACTAGGCTTCAATTAATATGGAATGCAATTTCTAAACATGCAGATTCATCGTCTTAAAGTTCCACAGCAAAATCAGTGTTGTTTGCCTTTGTTTGTGCCTTCTGGTGATGGCCACATTCTGAGCCTGTGCAGAAGGGTAGGGTGGGTGACTCAGACTGTCCAGTGTGCTCAGGAGTTCTTATTAACTTCTGTTTTCAATTTGAATAGGATTGTGATCATGACAAGTCCCCTACATTATTATCCCTGGACTCGTACTTCCTTCTTCCTCTAGGACTAGACATCTAACATGGAATCACTATAATAAAAAGGTACCATATATTTTTCATGAGTACTTTGTGGGAACTTTTCAAATTGCCAGCCTCTCCTACAGCAGAAGAGAATTTATGAAGCTAAAACTCAACAAAAATATCCAAATTCCTGCTGGGCAGTGGTGGCGCATGCCTTTAATCCCAGCACTTGGGAGGCAGAGGCAGGCGGATCTCTGTGAGTTCGAGACCAGCCTGGTCTACAGAGCTAGTTCCAGGACAGGCTCCAAAACCACAGAGAAACTATGTCTCAAAAAAAAAAAAAAAAAAAAAAGAAAATCCAAATTCCTTAGCACGTGTCCAGAGGCTTGCAGCCTAGGGCTACCGAGAGGACTCTGAACACCTGGTTCTGGTGTGCACACAGTAGCATGCAGTAAGCTACTGTGTGTGAGAATCACTGTGGACAGACAGAAAGGCCAGCGAGCACGGGCCCAGCAGCTGTCTGTACTAGGAGAGCACACAGTAGGCCCAGCCCACAGGGAATGTAGTAAACTGTTGAGGACACACAGGTGCCAGTGGCGGGAAAGGAAAGCAAGATCAGATAGGTGGACTCTGAGGTTAAAAGGAAGAAGGTCTTCAGGTCAGGGTGATAGCCAGGTGGGGAAAGTATTTGCTTTGCAATGAGGAAGAGCCCAAGTTTGATAGGCACGAGTGCTGAAAAAATAAAACGCCAGGCACGGTAATGTGAACTTGATGCCCTAGCACTAAGAAGGCAAAGGCAGGCGGCTCCCTGGGGTTCACCAGTCAGTCAGATTAGCTCACTGGACGATTAGATGAGTTCCAGGCCAAGGTCTCAGGGGGAAAAAAAAAGGTAAGGGATAAGGTGGAGTGAACAGCACTTGAGGTGTGTATGCTTCTCCTAAAATACACACATACACACGGATGCACACACACACAGACACACGAATGAACATGAATACACACACACACACACACACACACACACCAGAAAAAGGAAAAAAAGAGCTTCCCCTTTGTCTTATGATCTTAAACCCTTCAAGCAGATGACAGCTCTGACATAGGATTAGGTCTTTTAGTGTTAAGGATTATTTTTTTAATACTGTCACCCAAGTCTGTGTGTTCTTGTTTTCACCCCCTAAATTTTTGTTTCATTTACTTTGTCAGTAGGCACTGCAGACCTCTCTCGTGAATTCTTGCTCTGTTCCTAACTAACCCTTGGTCTTCCGCAGACATCAGCCTGTCTGAAGTCATTTCAGTGTTAACAATCCTACCCAAGAGTCACCTTGCTTATCCTGTAATGCATCTTCCATTGCCCCTGGGCAGAAGTGAACTATAAACAGTCTGTCAAAACTTTAACTGGGATATCCTGTTAAAGCACTTTGAAAAAAAAATTACCCAGACCCTTTGCAGAAGCAGAATAAATGAAAGAAGACAAGACCACGTCCACAGGTGGTTTTCTGACAGAATTAGATTATCTTTTTTTTTTCTTTCTTTCCAAGACAGGGTTTCTCTATGTAACAGCCCTAGCTGTCCTAGAACTAGCTCTGTAGATCAGGCTGGCCTCGAACTCACAGAGATCCACCTGCCTCTGCCTCCCGAGTGCTAGGATTAAAGGTGTGCACCACCACAGCCTGACCAGAATTGGATTATTTTAGCATCTTCACTTAGACTCCAGATATTTTTTTCCATCACCTGAACAACTGTTAGCATTATTACATTTATACAGTGTCTACTTAGGTCAAGGTGTCCAGGAAACTCTATGTTTTTTAATTTTTTAACTAATAAGCGTAGATGGATGTTGCTTAAAGAAT